CTGGAGGTCTTAAGACCTCTCCATGTCTAGATTTACATTACAAGCTTGTGTGGCTCTTCCAAATATTAACCAATCTACTTGAAGCTTAACAGACTTGAATGCGGAAAGTACGTATACCAATCGGGACCTGAATTGTTTGGGATTAGCAGTGGGCGGTTTTGTGTTACCATGGCTTTTGGAACAGGAAGAAGGGGTGCATGTTTTTAAAACCTTGGTTAGAAATGTTTTGATACTATATTCTCATTTTACTGGAACAGTTTGGCTAAAACCAAGCCTCTGAATGGATTTGGTTTGTGCCTTTTGCATGCAGCTGTGGATTTGTTTGTTCTGATTTGTTTGAGTGGGTTTTCTGTTTAAGATTGATTAAAATCGCTTTGTAATTTGTAAATGAGGCTGATGTTGCGAGAACACACCAATTAATTACCGGAAAAGGTACATTCTATGTGAATAATGATATAAGGAGCCATTATGGAATCACAGAATGGTTGATGCTTGAAGGGACCTCTGGAGATCATAGAGTACAATCCCCCTGCTCAAGCAAGGTCACCTACCAGGTTGCCAGAAACCATGTCCAGTCAGGTTATGAATATCTCCAAGGATGGAAACTCCACGACCTCTGTGGGCAACCTGTTCCAGTGTTTAATCACGCTTGCAGTAATTTTTTTCCCCTTATGTTTAAATAAAATTTCTTGTATTTCAGTTCGTGCCCATTGCCAATGTACTTCTTGCTGCATCAGGTATTTATACGCACTGATATGATTTCCCTGCTCCCTCCTGCCCTCTCCAGGCTGCACAATCCCAACTTTCTCAGCCACTCCTCATATGTCAGGTGCTTCCATTTCTTAATCATCTTTGTAGTCCTTTGCTAGATCCTCTCTGGGATGCCTATGTCTTTCTTGCACTGGGGAGCCCAGAACTGGACCCAGCAGTCCACATGTGCCTCACCAGCACTGAGGAGAGGAGAAAGAATTGCCTCCCCCAGCCTTCTGGCTATGCTCTGGGTAACGCAGCCTAGGATGCTGCTGGCCTTCTTAGCCAGAAGGGCACATTGCTGGCTTGTGTTCAAATTTTTTGTCCACCAGGACTCACAGTCTTTTTCTGCACAGCTGCTTTGCAGATGATTGAATCCCCAGCATTTACTGTTGCATGGGGGCCATTTCTTCAAGGTGCAGGACTTGGTGCTTCCCTGTGTTGAACTTCATGAGGCTTCTGTCTGCTCGTATCTCCAGCCTGTCAAGGTACTTTTGAATGACAGGATAGCCATCTGGTGCATCAACCACTCTCTTCAGTTTTGTATCAACTGCAAGCTTGCTGAAGGTGCAGTCCTATTGTCGGGGTCAGTAATGAATGTATTAAATTATATAGCCCCAAGGTATCAACATCTGGGGTACGCCAGTAGTGACTGGCCTCCAGCTGGACTTCATGCTGCTAATCATAACCCTTTGAGCCTGGCAGTTCGGCCGGTTTTCTGTCCGCCTCACTGTCTGATTAGCTAACCTGTACTTCATCAGCCTGTCTTTGAGGATGCTGTGGGAGACAAAGGCTTACAAAGCCTTGAAAAATACAAGATAAAGAATATCACTGACGTTTGCTTTTCTGCCAAACCAGTCATCTTATCATAAAAGGCTATGAAGTCAATGAGGCGTGATTTTTTTTTTTTTCCTTCGTAAATCCATGATGACTGTTCTCAATCACCTTCTTGTCCTTAACATGTTTGAAAATGGTTTCCAGGGTTACTTGTTCCATCACCTTCCCAGAGATCAAGGTGAGGCTGACCAGCCTGTAGTTCCCTAGGTCCTTCTTCTTAAATATCTTGAAAGTGGGAGTGACATTGGCTTTCTTCCAGTCCTTAGGAACCTCCCCAGTTGTCATGACCTTTCAAAGATAATCAAGAGTGGCCTCTCAATGACACTGGCCACTTCCCTCAGCCCTCGTGAATGTGTGCAATTAAGTCCCGTGGACTTGTGTATGTCCAATCTGTTCAAATTTTCACTCACCTGATCCTTTTCCATTGATTTTTCTTTGCTCCAGGCTTTCCCACTGGTCTCAGAGTCTGGGATTGCTGAAGGCTGATTTTACCATTAAAGACCGAGGCAAGGTTCATCTTTCACCACATCCTTTGTCATCTTTTCAGTAGAGGGCCTGCATTTTCTGTATTCTATTGTATACCAATAGAAGCCCTTCTTGTTGCTATTCATGACCTTCTCCAGATTTAGCTCCAGGTGGGCTTTGTCTTTCCTAACCCTGTTCCTGCATGCTCAAAGTTTCTCTGTATTCTTCCTGAGTCATCTGTCCTTGCTGCCACCTCTCATATGCTTCTTTTTTCATGTATGAGTTTTGTCAGGAGTTCCTTGTTCATCTGCACAGTCCTTCTACCACTCTTGCTTGAATTCCTGTTATTCGGGATGGACCATTCTTGAGTCTGGAGGAGGTAGGCCTTGAAAATCAGCCAGCTCTCCTGGATGTTTCTTCTCTTTAGGACCATATATCATGGGATTCTTCTAAGCAGGTCCCTGAACAGGCCAAAGTCTGCTCTCCTGAAGTCAGGGGTTGTAAGTCTGCTATATGTCTTCTTTCTTTCAGGATCCTGAACTCCACCATCTCATGGTCACTGCAGCCAAGGCTGCCACCAGGCTTCATATTCCTGACCAGTTTTTCTTTGTTTATAAGTATCAGGTCCAGCAGAGCATGTGTCCTTGCCAGCTTCTCCATCACCTGTGGCAGGAAGCTATCAGCCCAGAAGGCTCCTGGATTGCTTGTGCCCTGCTGTGTTGCCCTTCCAGCAGACACTAGGGTGGTTAAAGTTTCAGTTTCGCTGGGTGGAAGTTAATACACTAGGATTCATGGGTAGCTCATTGTCTGTGACAGGGCAAGATGTGACGTAGAAGTGGTATTTGAGAGTAGGAAGACACTGACGTGGAAAAAAAGTGCTACAGATGTTAGTGTCCAAATATATACATCTTAGTATGGACGACATTGCTGTAAATATGAAATAAGATACAAGAGAAGGCTGCAGGGAGACCTCATAGCAGCCTTCCAGTAATTAAAGAGGGCCTACAAGAAAGCTGGAGAGGGACTTTTTACTAGGGCATGTAGTGATATGATGAGGGATAATGGCTCTAAACTGAAAGAGGGGAGATTTAGATTAGATATAAGGAAGAAGTACTTTACTGTCAAGGTGGTGAGACACTGGAACAGGTTGCCCAGAGAAGCTGTGGCTGCCCCCTCCCTGGCAGTGTTCAAGGGCAGGTTGGATGGGGCTTTGAGCACCCTGGCCTAGTGGAAGGTGTCCCTGCCCATGGCAGGGGGGTTGGAACTCGATGATCTTTGAGGTCCCTTCCCACCTAAACCATTCTATGTGATAATATGGAGGTGAGAAAAAAGCCAGAGGGCTGCTCAGGTGGGAATTGCTGGTAGAAGAATCCTATCCTAATGTTAGCTGGATCAAAATCTGCAGGTAGAGGGAAAAAATGTAGTGCTGAGAGTTACAGTTTGCTGAACAATAACACAAGAAAACAGTTCACAAAATGTCATTCAGGCTTCTTGGTGAATTGAAACTATGGAAAGATGTAAAAGAAGCTTCAGATGTGTTTCACGAGTACAAAGGTAACAAGCTCTGATAGTGCCCTTGGTATGATACTATTCTTACAAACAAGTTTTGGATCTCTGATTTCACATGATAAAGCTGAAATAGATCTTGAATGTGATATAAATAAAAAAATAATAATTTTGTTTAAAATATCCTTTTGTGACTAGGTAGGGAAAATGTTGCTTATGAAATAAGAAAACTGAAGAGATGCTAGGCTGTGTCGGTTCTAGGAGATAGAGACCAGTGAGCCTTGAGTGGAAAATTCCAGTACCTTCATCAGACTGAAGGCTTAGGTGGCAATATTGGTATTTTGCTGCTGGGCAGGCTGTATTTGCTGAATCAGAACATTGGACCAATCCTGGTTAGCTTTGTCTGAGTGTTTAGGTAGCAATTTGTTTAATTTCTGTGTGGTAACCCTTTTCCAGGAAAGCACTGATATACAGCGAAAAACTAAACGCCCCTGGGTTAGCTCCCTTGGCTGAAGGCAAACACATGTTTAAGTGACTTGCTGGACTTGAGCCCAAGGGCCTTGTTCACAATTATGGCTCCGTTTCCCATTGCACTCACGTTCTGTCATCAAATGTAGTGCTAGCCAGCATCTCTGCTTAACGATATAGCAGTTCTGTCATTTTGCTCATAATTTGGAGTTATATTTCTTGCCCTGTATTTCTAGAAGCAGCCAACATGGGGCAAAGGAATTAACAGAGTATCTCCTAAACATATTAAGATGTTTATGGCACTGAACCAGACAGACAAATGGATGTTTACAAACCTTCTGGCTAGTTTTAAGATTGTGTACATCTCCTGACTCCTGGTTTAGGGGGCGCAGGACCAAGAATAGCAGTAGGTGGCACATCCATTGAAAGAATAACTTTGTGACAGTAGTGAATTGTGCGTCCTTGAGATGCTGTCTGGGAAAAGAAGCCTCTGAAATGGAGGAGAAAGCAAGTGGATGGATGCAGGAAGCAACTGGCTATCTGGAAGAAAGTGGCTTTCTCAGTGTTAAAGTTGGAGTTCTGTCTTTTGGAGGTGGATGTGACAGTTTGTGAGTAAGCAGGAAAAAGCTCAGCAATTAAGTAGTCTCCCTTCGATGCTGATATTTCCTTTGAAAACTGTGGAGGGAAAATCCAGATAAGCATGAATATAACCTTCCAATTTTGTTTCTGCAATCATTTGCAGAGTAATTAATGCAAAAGCTTTCTTTACCAAAGAGAAGCATAAGGTAATGGCTTCCATATAGTAAAGATCGTGTGGTTTATTTACTTACTGCTATTACAGACTATCTGTTTAATGCTTTTAAACTACATTCACAGTTCTTGTCTCTAGCTTGTCAAAGTACAGTCTTTGAAAGGAAGTGCCAAATCTGAGGTTAAAAAGGTAACAAACTTATTTTGTCTGCAACCAGGTTTTCCAGTGGAGACTGTGGAACTGTTCTTTCTTAGCTCCTGCTCCATGAGATCAGCTATGGAACATGCTCAAGAACGTGAAGCATGTCTTGAGCAAACCCAGAGGTATTGTGTGGAGAGACCAATATATAACCAAGAGCTCTTGCAAGGGCAGCTGCACAGACGAGAAAGAGCACCTCAGACTTTAAGGCAGAAGATTGCACATTCTTGTCGGTAGGGCTTTTTGTCTTATCTTTATTTTATTGGTTAGAAGTATTCTAATTCTTAATTGATTCATGCACGTAGCTGGGAATCTCTTCAAAGAAACTTAAGAGATAAAAGCACCGCTACTCCTTTGATTGTTCAGCAAGACTGTGATGAAGTTGTATATGTGTTTTTGTATGTTAATATAGAATTATATTACAAAATGTTGGATAAATTAGTTGAATTACCTTCATCAAAGTGCAAAGGAAAAATATGCAGCATAGGAATGTGACATATTAGTCAAATCATGTGACGTGAATTCTTAAGACCCAGAAGAGTATCTGTCCTTTTTGCCTGGAAATACTTACAGCCAAATTTGTGCTTCTTATGATCTTTTCACAGAAGAATGGAGATGTATGACAGCTGTGTAGAAATCTAAATTATTAGTCTAATAAGGACTTAATAGAGGCATTCTGTAGCTTTTAACTAACTGCCTTGGAATCCAAGTGTCATCTGGTTAGACAGGAAATGTCTTTAACTGTGCAACTCTTGCGCTGTGGTACCAGGCGGTAGTGAAGAGGAACTTATTCTAGTTAAGTTCTCATTAGCTTTACATTTATCCACACTTCACTTGCAGAGTTGATTTAATTTCTTGTTAGAACCTTGTTCTGCAAGACAACAAATGATTTCTGCCTGACTGCTTGTAAAATGTAAAATATTCCTGTTTACATGATTTGACATTTGTTTTGGTTAATGGAATGACTTTTTTTTAATGGCGATGGCACCTAATTCCACCTCAAACTTAGCTGTCCTCAATAAAAAAATGTATGGATCAAAATCCTCCTGAGCTGTGACTTCTTTTGGTTCAATCTGCTTAAACATGGAGAAGTGTGGATGACTGTCGTTCCTCTCTCACTTGTAGCAATAAGCTTCTTCACTATGAAATTTAGTCCCATGAGAATTCAGAAATGTTAAGAAATCTCTGCAGTCCTCTTGCAGTTCCCCTACACAGAAATGCATTTGTATGGTCTTACCCAAGGTTAAACTTTCTTGCCACAGTTCAATCAAAGTATGATGCATGGCAGTACTGGATAGAGATATTTATTTCCTGGCTCTATTCATTTGTCATGAGTCAGGGTTTCAAAAGGTTAATAACTCTGCTAAGAGACACAAGGGTCAGTGTTGCTGGCTTCAGTGCCTTTCCTTTCAGGGTAAAGAAGGGTTATGTTCTCAAATAGCCTTAAAGTTAGCCTATCGGTACCAGTGATAGTAACAAGCATTACTAAAATAATAAGGGGTTTTTAAAAATATATAAAATGTTATCGTGAAAAAAGTATGAAGCACGCAAACAGTAAATAAAAATAGGGAAAAGCATTGCAAAATACTTTGAGCAAAAACCGCTATCAGAAAGCAAGTTATCCTCAGGCAGTTGTTAGTAGGAATAGTCTTGTGCGTGTGCTCTTGTGTGACTCCTCAATCGTGCATGGACTTGAACAGTTTCACTTCCCGCTGACCTCGAGCCTCACAAGACTGTGATTCTCTTCTCCAGTTCCATAAGGTTTGTGAACAGCAACCAACATGTGATAAAGGACTAAATTACTGGAGTCGTAGTCTGTGCTTAAGCTTTGTCCAGAAATTACTGTCACTAGGGGTCTGAGCCTGCCTTCAATGGAGCTGTTTCACTGCTCGGGGAGGAAAGACCATTTTTTTGACCTCTGCATCCCTGCTAGTGTCTAACTTTTTCTTTCTGCTTTGTATTTTCAGTTGTTCTTCTAAGAAAGCCAAGTCTCATCTTTATCGTTTCATACCAATTTTAAAATGGCTTCCCCGTTACCCAGTGAAGGAGTACTTATTAGGAGACATTATCTCAGGTATAAGCACTGGGGTTATGCAGCTTCCTCAAGGTGAGTATCTCCCTGATTTATCACCTTCTCTGCTTTTTCTGTGTGTGCTTTTGTGATAGTGCTTGGCTTCCTGAACAGGTGCTTGTGAGAACAGGATATGTATTTCAAGTGTGTGTGGAGATCAGTAGAGCATTCTGTAGACCAGCCCATAATGATGTTTCCCTTAAAACTGCAAGTCAGTGACATGCAGCAAACTCTGAAAGAAGCTTACCTTTCTGATCAATACCAACAGCTCTCGATGACAGAACAACTGTTCACAGTTTAAGTGCGTGTCTAAACCTTTGCTGAACGCGCCCGCTTATTTTCTGATCTCATCATCCTGAAAGTTGTAGCAAATTTCCTGCAGAAGGTAGCAGTATCTAATAGACATATAGACAAAGTGTTTCAGGAGAGCAACTGTTGCAAAGTAACCAGACTAAATTCAGCCAGAGAAGAACTAGCAAGAAATCAGAAACTGATCCTTCTATTTCTCTTAAGGCTGGAAGTCACCAGTTTAAGCTGGAACTGTAGTAGCGGGCAGTGATTTACATGGTGGAAATAAATCAAAAGTATCTTCTATAACAAGACTGCAAATCTGTGGAATTTCTGTTAAAGTACTTGGAAGTTTCACCCCACATGGAGCCTGGCCCTGAAGCAGGAGCAGGCCCTGGGGAAGATGAAGAAAAAGCCGGTGATCACCGTTCTGTTCAGCTCTTGGTGACTGGACCAGTGGAATCTTTTGTTCAGCCTGACACGTTACTATCAGCAGTTTCAGAACTGCTATGGGGTTAGAAAGTCACAGCATTTTTACAGCAGTATCATTATGGGGTGCTATCATTGCTTTGGGAATGGCAGCTTCATGACAGATGCCACAGTACCAGTAGATTTCCCCAGGAGGTCTTGGAGTAGGGGGAATTGTTGAATTTGTGCAGAGCCCAGTCCAGAGGAGTCCTCATGCTAAAGGTGATGTAATTAAGCATATAAAAATTGATTTGTGTTTTGGCTTATTTCGTATTTCTAATTCACTCGTTCCACTTTAGGTTGAGGCAGGTCTGAAGAATTAATCTGTAAATACAACAAGCCTAGATTTTAGTAGGAGGTAACCTATTAAAGCAATGCAATATCCTAACTTAGTCTGTGTGGTTCACTACTTTATTTCTGTAGCTTCCTGGGTTTATGCAATTTTTTTATAATTAAGGATATTTTTTCTTACACAAATATAAACAACAGCTTATCTTGAACTGATAAGCAGTGTGGTTAACTGTTAGGCAAATTTGTCATATACTAGACACAAACACTACCAGTTGTATACTGAAACACAGTTTATATGATGACCAGATAAGGACACTAAAATGTAAGTGGTCAGCAGTGAACTTTATACTTAAGTTTGTGACTTTGTTTTAAGCTAAACATTATTCTTTCCTTTGGTGACTGCAGACGTGTCCTTAAACTGCTCCCTCCTGATCTTTTCCTTTCTAAAAAGACAAAAGTTGAGCTTTTATTTTTCTGTAATGGATGTATTTATAGCAAGCATGGGTTCAAAGAAGCTTGGGAATCATGCCAGACAGAACTACAATGACCAGGGTGTTTAAGACATGAACTCCTGTCATGTCAATATCTCTTCATTTCCTTGGCACTGATAGCCTTTAAAAATGCCAGTATAAATGAAAAGGAAAATGAATAAAAGGGTATTCAGATCAGGAACTCCATGTAGATCCACCCTCTTGGTTTGAAACAGCTGGTTTTCAGTTCTAGTCATTTGTACTATTAAATTCATCACCATATTAAAGGCCAGGCTATTATAGTACAGGGTGTTCTGCTGATACTCTTGGTGTGAAAGGTAGCCCATGGGGCAGAGAATGTATGTGGGAAGAGTTTCAGAACTACTTAATGAGAAGCTCATTGCTGCAAGAGAATGAACGGTATCAATCAGTCTAGTTCCGATAGGAATATGAACTCCTGGTTAGGACTCAGACATTGCTTCGGGCATGAGCAAGGCCATGAGAGCTATTACACTGCTCAAGAGTGCTTGGAGGACATAGAAGATCCCTTCCTGGTTTTGTTTTTTCATTGTAACATGATGATTTGTCTCTCAATTTGAAAATAAATTAATAGGGAGAGATGTTTTCGAGTATCGCTGGCTGTCCATGGTGGGTGAACCATTGCTTCCTTTTGTAATTTGCACTGGACTGTTGGACTTTTCAGTCCTAACTTGGACCAGTCTGCCCAAGTGTGGTACGAACCCACAGCTTCCTCAGGTGTCACGAGTCTGCACTTGCAAAGGTCAAGTGGGGAACCAAGCCACGCCAGGATACCGTGGTTTCTTCTTGAAGCCCATTTGTTCAGTTCTGGTGTCTAATTCTCATGAACGCCAGCCGTGCAGAACTGTTGATTTTGCTGGGACTGCTTGGGACAGTTATGCGCCATGTCACGTGGCACACAGGGTTTGCTTGTGAGCCTGGTCCCATGATAGGCACATGCTTAGTCACGCAGAGGAGGATCACTGTGGAAGGTGTCCTTTCCGGGTGTCTCTTAGAGCTGTTCCCCCACAGCTCCATTGCTGTGGTTGCCAGTCTCCCCTACAAATAGGAATGTGTGGATTGCACTTCTACTGGGACAGGGCTTAATAACAGAAAGGACTTCGTTTGGGGGAATAATACCAGACTGTATAAGCTCTGTGGCCTTACAGATTGTAAGCAACGATTCTCTGCTTATTTTACGTTTTGGAGCACGTTTTGCAGAAGCATAAACTGTTATGTCATCCTGCTTGTTCTAAGGGGAGGGAAGTGTTTAATCAATCATAGATTACCATGAAGATCATGTCTGATGAGAAAAGAAGAAGAAAAATCAAAAATGTCCCACTGGTTATGGGGTTTTGGGTGTTTCTAATTACATTCTTTGACAGATGAAAACAAAAGCAACAAAACATGTTTGAAGTACTTCCAGCCACAAAGGAAGAACAGTGAGTGCACAGATGTATATGAAAACATGCACACGCACACCTGCAGTGCCTGTAATTAGAGACTTCTGGTTTCCTGACTCAAACCATCAAGTTTCTAGGCCCTAATTATACATATTAAAGAGCATTCTCTGCAAGACTTCTTGTTTTTTAAACTTATGATATGTCACTATATTTCCTATTAGGTGAGTTCAGTTTCACTAGGCTTAATTCTTTTCTTTGCTTCAGATGGTTTCTTTCTGTTGTTTGGTTAACATACATATTTGTGTCTGTTTTCTAGGTTTAGCCTATGCTATGCTGGCAGCTGTTCCCCCAGTATTTGGCCTATATTCTTCATTTTATCCTGTCTTTCTATATACTTTTTTTGGAACCTCCAAGCACATATCAATAGGTATATCTGTATGGATAACTGAAAGTCTGTGTTTGTGCATGTGGTTAGTAAAGTTGGAAAAAGTAAAATTGGAGAAATAGAAAGTGTAGTTTTTTTCCAGAAATTCAGATTTAAATGAATAGGAGAAACACGAATGTGTCAAACATTAGCAGTGTTTTTTACTGTTAATTTATCCATCCTACTTAGGAAGAAATAGAAGAGCAGCTTTTGGATCACATTTAGAAATATGTGCTGTGAACTCCTGAATTATAATTTCATTGCTGCAGTCAGCTGTCTGTGCGGCCAGGATGAATCATTAATTTACATAATAGAAACTGAGACAGAAAAAATGATGGTATTTACTTACCATAGAGGTGTATGTTCACCATCTAACTAGCTGTAATGGTGCTGAGTCCTGGAGCAGATTTGGGGACTAAAAATTACAATATTTAGGTAGAAAACTCTATTAAGTTTAATTCTACATATCTCTTAATAAAAAATACTCCTAAAAAAAAAAAAGTAACCAGGTTTTTAACCAATTCTTTTCCTCTCCCTCTTATTTCAGGCACCTTTGCTGTGATTAGTATGATGGTTGGTGGTGTTGCTGTGAGACAAGTGCCTGATGAAATGATTTCTGTAGACTATAATTCTACTAATGTTACAGATTGGCTTGAATATTACCATGCTAGGGATACCAAGAGGGTACAGGTAGCTGTGACGCTCGCCTTTCTTTCAGGAATTATCCAGGTATGTGCTTGCAGTTTGCTGTAAAGGCAAGTTTAGGTGCTGCTGCTAGACTTGCAGTTGCAAGGGGTGCTGGGTCATGGCAGATCCCCTGTCAGTAGACCTGTGCTTCAGCGCTGCGCTGTGTAGAATACATGCTGCTTCGTGGCAGCCACGTAACAGAAGTGGGGAAGGATACGTTGGAGGCAAGTCTTTGTCTGGCATGTTGGCTTGACTGGGAAAAATGGGACCTCCCCCCTTTTATTTTTCCCTATCCCATCAGAAGAACTCAACCTGATGTTCTCTAATCTGTCCATAAATGCATACAAACACATGTGCTTACCCATATCCCGCACCGCACCTGCCAGTGGCATGGAAGATTCGGTGCATTGCTGGCTGCTTACTGAACTGTGGCTTTAGAAAGGCCAAGTTCAGGTTTTCCTGGTCTGGCCTGGGCATCAAGATAAGAAGGGGTGTCCTGTGGCCTGTCTGCTATATAACGTTGATGTTCAGGCTACAGTGGGAGTCACATGGTTAATGTTTCTCTTCTTTGTTAGTTGTGTTTAGGTCTCCTTCGATTTGGATTTGTAGCCATCTATCTAACAGAGCCTCTGGTGCGAGGATTTACTACTGCTGCTGCCGTTCATGTCTTTACCTCTCAATTAAAGTATCTCCTTGGCATTAAGACTAACCGATACAGTGGACCCCTCTCAGTTGTATATGTGAGTAACTACATGTACTAAACATGCAGATTCTGCATTGTCCCGGTCTAGTACTTAATCCTTTTCCTATTTTTTTAATTATTATTTTGGCACTAAGTAGAATAATGCTTCAGTATTCAAAACCAGGTATGAGGTCTCTAACAGTGTGTTAGTGTCAAATGAGTGCTAAAGCAATATATGAACATCTTGAAGTGCAGCTTGAGTGTGACTTGATGTATCAGCAACAGTGTGAGATGGGCAGATTTTAGGATTCTGCTAAATGTAGTTTTGTAGTATCCACAGAAGATGGTCATTGAAGCAAGTCTCTTGTACATCGTGGGAAAATGTGCTACTAAAATGCTTCACTGTGGACCAGACGTGTTTTGCAAAGCTAGGAAACGTTATTCTCTGAACCTTGCCCAATCTGTATTTCTTTAATTTCACACAGAATTCCTGATGGGAGTATTCTTCATTTTCTGTTTGTAATGTGGTTCCTGTTTTGTAATGTGGTTGGATGCAAAGTGCTGTGTCATCAGAAATGTACCTGTTCTTTAGAGTAGTGGGAAGAACTAGTTTGAAATAAAACCACTCAGTGAAACATTGCTATTTATCAAAGACCCTAGGCATTAAAACTGATTGTTCAGGGCATGTAGGAATCTAGTATTTGACATAGCTCATAGCCTAACTTTCCATTTGCCTTCTGTCTAACACACAGTGATGCGAGAGGACAAGAGAGAAACCATGCAGTGTAAAGCTATGATTTGGTCAGTATTTGGTCAGTTAAGTAAAACCAAAAGCTCTTGTTCACTTCTGTAAAGCTATGATTTGGTCAGTATGAGTTAAGTAAAACCAAAAGCTCTTGTTCACTTGAATTTAAAATTTATAGTTGTGCTTTGAAAAAAATGTAATGGATCCCATGCCACAGATTATTTATTTAAAGGAACATTTCTAATTGAAATCACAACCGAAGCTTTTAAGTTTGTATGAGCATTAATGTTCTTGCTGTTATGAACAAGCAGAGTCAAAATGCTTCTGAATCTGATTCGTCTGCCAGTCCAGGAGGCTCCAAGTTGTTACCACAAAATCAATGCTCTGATTTTTCAGACAAGAACCCCTGAGTGGAACAATAGGGAAGATGTCAGATATCTGTGAAAACCCAAGCTTTTTTGCAGATTGATGGCTCAGTGATAACAAAGCTTCAGGATTTTGACTACACGAAGGCTATAGAAAATACTTAGTGGGAATCTTTCTGGTATATTCGTGCAGATGTAACAAACCTGTTGGAAACAAGGCTGCACTGATGATTAATTCCCAAATTTGCTGTTTAGTTCACTAATCTGGAAACCAGACGTACTAATTGCCAAACAAACAGGAGGGGAGGTATACATTCAAGACGTCCTGATAGTACATCTTGAATGTATAATATCCTGATAGTTGCTGTAATTTTCCTGCTGTCTGAAGAATGGTATGTACATCTTCTTTCAAAGACCTCTCCAGAGATCATTTATTCATTTTTATTTTTTTAAATGCAGTTGAAGAAGTAGTTGGTAGCAGAATCATTTACCTTCTAGCAACTCGTGTGTTCCAGCACGCTTTCTTTCCTAATACCCTTTTAATAGTCTTTTCAGCTACAAGATATTTGGAATAATAGTCAGTTCGGCAGTGTTGCAAGATCACTGTTATTTAATCATATTGCTGTGGTAACCTCAACAGTTATCAGCAGCTTTATCGTTTTAGAATGGTTTATGCAGCTCTAAGTAGATGTGACTTGCCAAAAAATATTTGAAGGTATTAGAAGGAGTTTGCATTTATTGCTTTCAGGTAGCTGCCAATATGAAATATGTGTTGAGGATAAGAGATGTGGTTTAGTTTAGACTTTTTTCCCCCATGATAGTTTTTTTGCTCCGCTTGAGGAAGGCTGATATGGTAAATGATTGCAAGGGCATCTCCCTCACTGAGATACTCTGAACTTCCATGTTTTGCGGGAGCAATGGAGATTTTGGTGAGGCACTGATTCACTGTGGTTATAAATGCAGAATAAAAACACAGCCGAACAGCAGTGTATAATTTTCTGTTTTGTGGAAAATATCCATGAAGACTGTATTTTCTTAGGCATAATTATGATACTTCTGTTGTCTTACAGAGCATAGCTGCTGTGCTTTCAAAAATAACAACAACCAATATCGCTGCGTTGATTGTTGGATTAACGTGCATTGTTCTGTTGTTGATTGGCAAGGAAATCAACCTCCGGTTTAAGAAGAAGCTCCCAGTTCCTATTCCTATGGAGATCATTGTGGTAAGCCAGTTGTGAAGTTCCATAGCTAAATTATATAGCTATTCTAAAGCTGTAGAAACTATCTCATCTTCTAGCAAGTCTTACTGAGCTTTAGAGTAACTTCTGTCAAACATAATTCGTTTGAGGCTCGATCCAGTTGAAGATTTGGCTACTCATAAGGTTAGGGACTGATGTGACCAAGTTTTAGGTGTAAAGTCTCAAAGAAGAATTGAAAACCCAGTTAAACATCCATCCTATGGCAGTAGGTAGGTAGAAATCTGTTGTAAACCCCACTCTCTCCTGGAGTTTTGGCACCTGAATGATTCTCTGCGAGGCATGCCTTTGAGTGGCATTTCCCACTTGGAGTCCAAGAGCTCAGAACCGCCTCATGAAGGAAGGTGCTTACAGATGCCTGTTTCAGAGGTTCTACAGGGTTTGCCTGCTTTTTAACATGCAGTGGTTGAAAGAGCAGCAGTAACCAGTGGAACTTACTACTTAACCTTCCTTTCTCTGTTTCTGAGTCTGATAACCACACTAAAATACATGGATAAAGCAGACTATGTTGATACACACAGAGCCCACATCTCAGATAACCTTTCAGCTTTAAAAGTGGTTGGATTTAAAAATGAGTTCTTGGATAACTAACAATAATGAACAACCTGCACAAAATCAGAGCCAAGAAAGGGAATAACTGAAGGTATGGGTACAATTTAGCTAGAAGGAACAAAGAAAAGGGATGCTGTTGAGAGATGAACAAGGTGGTGTGAGAGGGCATTGTTTGATAGTAAGGCAATAGCAAAGCGATCTTACACCTGTTCCTTTCACTGCTGCTGCGCCAGCTCTGTTCACAGGTTATGCGCGTGAAAATATGGCAGTGCAGACATCCTTGGCTTGTCCTTGCGTTTAATCGCCCAATTTCTGCCTGAGTTTGGCTCAAGCAAAGGGAATTCAAGTGATTCAGATCATACCATAGCATGCTCCATTTAACCGTTTCCAAGAAAACTTTATAAAATCAGTGGGGGTTGAACTGATAGAGGTAAAACCATGATAATTCCTCCTTTTTATCCGTGTCTTTACCCCAATAACTCTTAGAAAACTGATTGACAAATAAATGTCATCCCTTGTGTGTATTATTCATAATCAGCCAACTTCAGGTGGCTTTATCTCTTTCTAGCTGATGTTTACGAATGTGTTTGTGGTTTTTTAGGTAATTATTGGCACAGGAGTTTCAGCTGGAATGAATCTGAATGAGTCATACAAAGTGGATATTGTTGGGAATATTCCTCAAGGGTAGGGTTGATATATTCTTATTCCAACTATACGTTTTCTGTATGGCATGTAGCTTTTATTATAGTAATTTGTAAATATTTATTTCATCTCCAAGGTTACGTGCACCAGCAGTTCCTGAGATTCAGCTCATCCCAGCAATATTTGTGGATGCAATCGCAATAGCAATAGTTGGATTTTCAATGGCTGTGTCAATGGCCAAGATCTTTGCCCTTAAACATGGTTACACCACTGATGGGAATCAGGTAAAAATATTGAGGTTACTTTGTTGAAAATTCTCAGCCATCACCTTTGTTACATTGTTAAAGTAGACTGGGATATTGGACATAAATGAATTTTTCTTTCATAGTGGAATCACATCAGGGTTTTGACAGTCCACACATTTAGGAATTATTTTAAGTTCTTCTTCCGGCTGTGTTTCAATAACCAGTTTCACTTGTAGCTTCATTTTGGGAAACTTGCTTCTGTTAGACTTGGATGTACACATGAATATTAGTTGTTGGGACAGCCATTACTTAGTGTACTGGCCTGATGGGCAGCTACTTTATCTCTGCTTTCTTTAATAGAGCTAAGCATGGAGTTCCCATGTGATAAAAACCAAAAATGATATGTCATCCTCACCTACTCTGTCCTTCCTGTGCAATTTAGCATCACTATTACAACTGGATTATTGGTTGATACCATAGTGGTGTCAAGGGAGACATCGTGTCAAGAGAGTTCATATGCTATAAAGCATTTCCTAGAGCAAGCATCTGGCACGGCGCAGATCACCTGTTCCCCCTTCTCAAAGTGGCTGTCTTCCTCTGAGAGTAAATGGAGTTTAAATGACTTTTGCCTACAGAGTTTTACATCTGGTCAGATGAATCTCATCCGTCATGTCGTTGTTCTCTGTTACGCAAAGAGAGAAGAGGACAACTCTGTAGCTGCATGAATGGAATCAGCTCTACTTACATTAGTTAAAGTTATCATCACTGACCTGAGTGAAACATCTAGATCTTTTCCTCAAGAGGTGCCAGATGCTACTTCACCTGGGTGTTTAACTATAGAGCTCCTTGTCACAGGATGCAGTGCATGCAGAGAGTGTTTGAATTAATCAAAAAAGGGTTGTACAAACGCAAAGAGAAAAACTCATTGAGAGCTATTGAAAACATAACTCAAATCACCTCCATTACAAATAGCGGGATGCAGAGTAATCTGGGGAGGCCTCATGACAATCAAATACTTTCTTAGGCACCAGAAACACAGTACTGAGGTAGATGGAGCTCTGATCTCACTCCCACTTATGTGGGATCTTCCTGATGAAGCATGGACACATACTGGTTTTTGCATGTACAGCAATGGATTACCTACCACTCATGGAAACACAGCCAAGGCTGCTCTTGGTTTTAATAGTACTAAACAGATAGTTTAGGGTGAGAAGCAAAGAACAGTGTTTGTATGAGAAACCCTTTCCCATGTGTTTTCAGGGTTAAAATTCAAGCTAACCCCAAGCTGAAGAAATCCTTAAAACAAGCAATGCTGTCATTGATTTTAGTTTTCGCTCTGACTCATTACTGTAACATTTAAGGATGGGAAATGTTTCCAGAACTTCATCAGGTACTTTATGTAACAGATGATTTAACATGGATTGACCTACGCATGTGTGAGAACCACAAATATAAGCTACGATAAGGTTGCTTATTCTCTACCATAAGGTTGCTAGAAAGCACTGTAAATAAGACATGGCTATTAATATGTATGGATAGCGCCAGCTTTGTACAGTTGGTAGGTATAACTGCCTTTTGTTTTGCTCTGTTGTTTAACACAGGAACTTATTGCCCTGGGAATATGCAACTTCGCGGGGTCATTTTTCCAAAGCTTTTCAGTCACTTGCTCAATGTCTCGAAGTCTTGTTCAGGAAAGCACCGGTGGGAAAACTCAGGTATGTAAACCCAAATTTTGAGCCAAACAAAGTTTGCTTTTTGGAGCTCCAAAGCTAAGGTCTGAAGCTTCACAAGATTGCCAGCTTTCTCTGTCTGGGCTGGAAGGAAGAACTGGAGTCTCCCATGTTTCAAATCCAGATTGGGCTGGGATAGAAAGCTGCATGGCAGACAAAATGGGTGAACTCAGTGGGAGGGATCAAAAGTCACTTGTAAAACGAGCTATGTGGAAAGCATGAGAGGGGATAGCTAATCAGTTATACTGCCCTTTGGGGGCACTTACAAATAATTTCTGGCTTCTTTTGTTCAGATTGCAGGTGCTCTCTCTTCAATTATGGTTCTGTTGGTAATTGTGGCTATTGGATACCTCTTTGAACCACTTCCACAGGTAAGGGAGTTTTGCCTGTTAGGCATTGCGTTGTCAGTCAATAGAGGCCAGTGAGTACTGCCTAAAATAGAGATTGTGGGATGATTAGTAAATAACACAGTTAGGACTTTATGCAGAAACCTTTAACTTTTGTATGCATTTCTTCTGTAAATCAGACTAAAATAATATTTTGAAGGATTCAGTGTGCTTTTTTTTAATATTGGACATTCTGGACTCTGTGTTTAGAACATAAAAATTATACCTTCAAACAATTCCCCTTTAGAAACATTCAGGTTGGAAAAGACCTTTAAGATCATCCAGTCCAACCATTAACCTAGCACTGCCAAGTCCACCCCTAAACCATGTCACTAAACACCACATCTACACGTCTTTTAAACACCTCCAGGGATGGTGGCTCCACCACCTCCCTGGGA